ATAGACCTATCACGGGTTTGGCATGTAAAGCATGCACACCAAATAGCAAAGTAAGAAATTTGAACTCTTATTTTTTTTTGTCAGCCGAACGGATAAACGGATTTTGATAAGATTTACAAAAAAAAAAGAAAAAAAAAAAAAAAAGGAAAAAAAGGCTAGGATTATCCCTAAATGCGTATTTTTACAGTTCAAGACTCGCACGTTCGGGGTCATTTATTAACTAATAAATAGATAAGGGATAATTTTTTATTTTTTTTTACTTATGCAATTTTTTCCTACGCCTTTTAGAATAACTAAATAAAAAAAAAAAAAAAAAAAAATTGAAACGATTTTGGAAATAATCAACGTCAGTGGCGAATCTAAAAAGTCGTATGATCTTAAAAAAAAAAGGCTTAATTTTATTTTTACATTAAGGAGCGTCATTACCCCCTGCGACATTTTTTTTTTTTTTTTTTTTGTGAATGAATGTAAACGTTCAAAGGCTAGGAGCGATAATGAAATTATTATTATTATTATTATTATTAATGGTTTTTTTTTTTTTTTTTATAAATAGGAATTTTCTGTAGATTACGCTTCGAAAAGTTTACAAGTGAAAAACATATTGAAAACGGAAACGGAAAAATCAAGTTTTTTCCTAATCAGAACATTTTGTCACATTGTACACATTTGGGGTTTTAAAAAGTTTGAATTTCCACAAGTATACGATAAGGTACGATTTTATATTGATCGTTTTTGACTTTTTAGTGATTTTTCTAATCGGGGCTAATTTTCCCCCCCCCTGGTCAGGTTTTATCAAGCGTGGCCTTAAAGGGTGCGATCGGTGAAACAACACGTGATCTCTATCAGAACGAATATAGAAGCGAAAATAATGGAAACAACAATCAAAAAGATAAAAAGAGCGAAGAAGATGTTTATAATAAAATATATAAGGCACAAGAAGCGAGAGTGAAAAATATATTAATTATAATGAGATCGACATTGTCGGATTTACTTCTAAGGTTTTTATTATTATTATTATTATTATTATTATTATTATTATTAAAGTAAAACGACGAACGACCACGTGATTGATTTTTTTTCTTCTTCTTCTTCTCCATTTTAGAATCACTACTTGGGTCGTTTATAAATTATTTCCAAGATTTCTCAGTTCCGTTTGCCTTCATCCGTCACAGTTGAAAATGATACAAAAAGCAGCCAAAACAAATTTGCCACTCATATTCGTTCCCCTTCATCGGAGTCATTTGGATTACATTTTGATAACATTTGTTTTGCAAAACATAAATGTTAAATCTCCGCTCGTGGCAGCTGGCAACAATTTGAGAATACCTGTTTTCGGGTAAGATAATGCCTGACGATCGATTTAAAAATGGCGAACGATTCGCGTTTTGTTTGTTTTTAATACCTGATTTTTTTTTTTTTCTGCCTCAGGTGGTTGCTCAGGGGTTTGGGCGCGTTTTTCATAAAACGTCGAATTGATCCAAGCGCCGGAAAAAAAGACACGCTTTACAGAGCCGTGTTACACACGTACATGACAGAATGTTTACGAGCGGGTCATAACATTGAGTTTTACATAGAAGGTGGGAGGACGAGAACCGGAAAACCGTGCATGCCAAAAGGTAATTGACGATGACATTAATCGAGTCGGTCAGTCCTTGTTTTTAATTAATTTTTTTTTTTTTTTTTTTGCGGTTTTGTGATTTGAATTTTTTAATAAAAACGATCGAGGGGGGAGGGGGGAGGGGGGCAACATTGGATTCGTACGCGAATTGAATAAAAAACAAAAAAAATTTTTAAAGTCCAACGATTAGAAATTTTCTCGAGATTGTAGAAAAGAGTTTAATGAACAATCCTTTGGTTTTCTCTCTCTCTCTCTCTCTCAATCATAAATTAAAGCGAAAAAATTT